TTAGATCCCCAACATTCAAATACACGATCAGTAAAGGGACACATGTACACGCCTTGACCTCTTGGCACTGTCACCTTCTTACGGACTTGTCCTCTTCCAGGAGGGCGTCCACGACGGCCACGACCACGTCCAGAAGGTACATTAGATGACAACACACGCTGCAACAGAAGGTTGAGAAGCAGTACATGAATGTGAGACAGTGGAAGATTGAGATTGATTAGGCGTAGATAGTGGAATAGAAGGCTGTAATCGACTAGTAATGCGCTTTCTTAGTCGAACTGGGTTGCTGCCTTCAACATCCTGTCATATTAAAGCAACTTACATGTAAAAAAAAACCTCATACGAAAGGTTCTCATACACAACATGTTATAGAGAAATAAAAACACTTACAAGTATCTTATGAGGTCTTCCACATTTGCGTGCTGGACCTTGCTTAATAAAATTTTCATTTTTGCAAGTGGTACGGTTATGCCCAACAAAAACAAGGGCCCTAGGGCAAAAAGAAAATTTTGGACCCTCTCAATATAGAGTTTTTTTTGTACCTTATTAACATAAAAACCTAAAAAATTTGGCCTTTCCTAATTTATTCTTAGCAAATGAGTTTTTTTTTTATTTGTTTTACTAAAAACGGGCTAGGGTGAAAAAAAACTGGGCCATTTAACACTAAAATTTTTCTTTTTAAAATGAAAAAATTGGGTCCTTTTTCTCCTGAAATTTTTTTTTTCTTCACGGGCCCTTGGGCCGTCGCCCCTCTGCCCTACCCATCTGAACTGGGCCTGCCTACCTTCTTACAATTGCTACACGTTATTATCCTACCATCTCGAGTCACTCTTTTTGGGTTGGAAGGACTTTCATGTGCTGCCTTTATCCTGTTTTTTTTAGGCCTCCCCGACATCTTTCTAAAACCTGGAACTCCAATTGCTGCTTTACCAGTTTTTTCACAAAATTTTTCTCCATTAACTGGTTTGATGTTGTTTTTGTAGTTTTCTATCCAAACTTCTGTCTTGTAATAACGATCGACATGGCTGCAATCAAAAGATTAAGAGACTAGTTAACTCAAAAACAACAATAGACTTTGACCATCCACTTCCGGATAGGTTTCTCTACGGAGCAATAGATCCTCCATTTGCATTTCCCGTGTGTGCATATGGCTGCAAGCCTTTCAGGATGCCACTTATTTAACTTCACGTCAAACTGTGTTTTCAAATATATATTAATAGCTGATCCTTAAATTCATCCCCGTTACTAAATGTCTGCATTAGCCACAAGTATGGAGATTCTCCATAATCTGCTTTACTCTTCCCTTTCAATGACCATCTGTAATAATCCTTTTTATGCCAATTTGCTCATTCTTCGTCAGTGTCTTCCGCAGAATCTGGATACTCACCATGAGGAAGGTGTATCTCAGCCTCTATTTCACTGTCATAACCGTTATCATCATCTACGATAGGCTGAGTAGCCACACTTGGAACTGTAGTAGTCTGTTGTTCAGCTTCTACAAACAATTCTGCAAACCGTGGATCAGCAGCTCCTTCGGGTAGTATTTGGTTCTCATCCTCAGCTACTTCTTCCTCTTGGTCTTCTTTTTGAGTTTCTTTACATATCTCTTCTTCGTCAGTTTCTTCCACTCTGTTTTCATCATCACTTTCTTCTTCCTCACTACAGCCTTCATCATTAGCCTTTTCACTACTCTTGTTCTCAGTTTTCTCTTTCAACATTTTTAAATGAGATGTCCTCTAAATCTCTAATCATTCTAGGGTTCCTCTAAAATTTGGGGATTTTGGGATTTTTTCTAGATTACGGGAGTTTAAGTTCTTAAGCGATGTTTAGTTATCATTTAACTGTAGTTAGTTTGATGACAGAATACTAACTCCGTTCTGATTTTCGTTAACCTCTGTTTCCTCTATGATGTAATGTAAGTATAATAATCATACTTGATGATTTAAAATGGGTATTAAAAAAAGTTAAAGTATTCTTCTGGGTATAAAACTAGTTGGGGTATTAAAAAGCTTATCGTAATTTAGTTGAGGGATTTTAATGGAATTTTCCCAATCAATTTTGTAAAGGAATCAAATAAGATCAAAAGAATCATGAATCAATCTTGTTTTTTTTTTTTTTTTATCATATTTATTTGGGTACAAACACCTATGTCTTCTTATTTTTCCTCACATTCGGCGTTTTCATATATATATAACGGCGAAAATAGTTTATGTCCACACAAATCACTTAGACTATGTATCTATCAAGTCGTTGGTGAGCAAGAGAAGATGTTGGGGTGGAAACTACAGTTGATCACCAATATTGACGGTTTGGTGCATTTCCTTGTACTTTTAAGTTTTCTTTCTAAGGCATTTTTCAAGCTACTAATGGTTTACTGAAACAGAAGTAAATAATGTTGTTTCCTTTTATATAAGGTTTAAAACTGTCACCACTGTTTATCCTCAGCACTTCACATGCATAATGGTGCTCTGGTTTCTTCGATCTTTGCAACATTTTTCATTGTCACATTAGTTTGAGACCTAGAAGGAACGACAAACATGGATACCATAAAGGTTAATCATAGCTTCATAACTTTATCTGACCGTTCCACAGCACATATTTCTTCACAGCAATACTTAATAAGGTGATATAAGCCATCATGGACTTATATATGAACTCTAGGGTGGAAGAGGGCCTAGTTTCAACATCAATGGCACGAAACAGGTCTTCTTTATGCTTTCTTTCACTGATATCTTTATTTTTTGCCACTAAACTTGTATTTGGGCCATAACAGCCATCTATATTTGATGCAATTTTGCACTTAAATGATAAACGACATTCTCTTCGTTTCATCATTTATTCTTTAAACAATCACGACGCCTTTTTATTACACACATTCCATATAGAGAAAAAAAAATGGAATTAGCTGGAATTAGCTTCAAGTGCAACCAAACAAATAAATGGTGTTTAAGAAAACATAAATTAGGTTCAACATCCAAAAAAAAATTGAAGTTATAGTCCTCCAAGAAAACATACACTTTATGCTTAAATTTTTGGGATCATGCTGCTTGACATAGAAACTATGATGATCTAGTGATTTGTGTTGATTCTTAGCATATACTCCAGCTAACACTTTCCCGAAATCAGAGCGACACTTAGCCAATTTTTCTTGTTTATGCTTTAATTGATACTTTTTCTTCATATACAATACTTTTAGAATAGTAATGAACTCTAATTGTGGCTGACGGCTCGGAATTTAAAGCTTAATAAATATGATGAAATGTGATGCCTCTTCTTATTATTTATACTAAAAATATGTAGGGTTAATCGAATATATATTTTTGGTAATATCCTTTTTCTGGTCAAAAAATTAGAAGATTAAGAAAATAAGAATAAGAAATGTAAGTTTTATATATTTCATATATTGTTTTTCAAAAGTTTAGAATTCTTTTTTTCTTTATATTTCTTTTTCCTTTTTATTAATTTTTTCTATAAAAAAAGAAATAGAAGTTAAAAATGTTAATTAATAAGATAGAAAATGTTAACTAATTAGATGTCTAATTACTATTGGTCGTTTAAAATTCTATATGGACGCGTTTAGGAGGTTATAGCTCCAACTTTTATATAGTATAGACTAAGTTTTGAACCCACGCGTAGCGTGGGTTTATGAGAGGTATTTTGGGGAATATTATACACGATTGATGATATTTATTAGATATATATGATCTTTAAAAACTTAAATTACTATTAAGACAAAAACCCACGTATGAAGATTAACAAAATAAGAATATACGTTTTATATGTTTCCATATATTATTTTTCAGAACTTTACATTTCTTTTTCTATATATTGCTTTTTCTATTTATTAATAAATTTATATTAAAAATTAGAATTTAAAATTTTATATTAATAACACAGCAAAAGATGTTAACTAATTAGATGACTAACCACGATTGATAGTTTAAAATCTTACATGGACGGCTTATAGCTTCATATTTTTGTGTTGATATTCATTGTTTAGAGGCAACTAAATATTTCATTTTTTAATTTCAAACTCTTTAAATTATTTTTAGAATTTTTTTGAGAATAGCTTTCTCTAAATGTTACCTTTCACACATGCCCACTTCTAATTGGTCTTTCTTCAAAATACCTAAAAAGTATGACACATACAGAAATACATGTGTTAAAAAAACATACAAAAACTAAAGTGTAAAATCTTTTAAAATTTAATTTACGACTTCGATGTTTGAATTTGTGAGTAAAAATAGGAATTTAATATTTTTGTTTGAAAAAAAAGAAGAAAAAAGAATATAAAGGTTTCATTTAAGACTGAAATTGAAAGTAATTAATAAAGGGAAAAATGCCATAAAAATCCTGGAGAGTACGATTTCGTTGGTTTAAATCCCGAACTTTCCAACTGTTGATTTAAATCACAAATTTTCTGTTTACTCTCTCTTTAATATGAAACTTTAATTGACTTTGCCAATTTAGGCACATCGTTAAATCGCCAAACGGAGCAATTAAACGGGTTTGAATGTCATTAACGAAATCCATCAAATACAAAATGAAACCGTTTTTAACATAACCCAAACACTTAATCGATTCAAAATTTTCCCCAAAACAGTTAACAGAAAGTTGAATCGATTAAGAGTTTGGGTTATGTTAAAAACGGTTTCATTTCATATTTGACGGATTTCGTTAACGACATCTAACCTCGTTTAATTGCTCCGTTTGGCGTTTTAAAGATGTGCCTAAATTTGCAAAGTCAACTAAAGTTTCATATTAAAGAGAGAGTCAATATAAAGTTTGTGATTTAAATCAACAGTTGGAGAGTTCGGGATTTAAATCAACGAAATCGTACTCTCCAGAATTTTTATGGCATTTTTCCCAATTAATAAATAGGCATATAAGAAGCTCTAAGTAAAAAATAAGGAGCACTCACGATCACTGAGACTTTTTCTGATGAGGAATTAGACTATACGATTGAGAAAGGATAGTATAGAAACAAACTCTAGACAAAAGAAAAAATAAATCATAATCACATGATTAGTAAATTTGATTCGTTGGAACTAAAAAAAATAATATACAAACACTACATCCTATTTACATAAACAAACGTATAAACACACACCTTATCAATAGAATAATTAATACCCTTATTAATTTTTTGTTTGGTTCTTTATCTACTCCTTCGTACAAACTCAATTTTTCAAATTATATCCATCGACAGCATGAGCATCAATGGTTTTGGATCAAAGGTCACATTCTCTGTAAACCCAAAAATGAGTCAAAACAAGGAAAATCAATAAAAGAATTATTTATATTGATTAGTAGTGCAATAATAAGAACTCACAGAACATAACTTATAATGTAAAAATCAATTATAAAAGAAAAAAACAATATTTAAAACAGTAGTATCAACGCTAACAAATAAACCTAGTGAAAATTCGATATCAAATGTTGTAGCCGAGGCTCTATATTTATAGCTAAAACTATAGGACAAACTGGCACAATAATTTCTAGAAATTTAACATTATCTCTAGAAATTTTAAAATTAAATTTAGAAATACTTCCATATTTTCACATATTTCTTTTATTTTCATAATCTTTTTTTGTTTTTACATTAAAAAATCTTGATATAGAAAATATTGTAATTCCGAAAATATCAGATAGTGAGATGGCCAACCGCAATTTGTCATTTAAAAGCCTATGTGTACGTCTTTAGGAGCTTACAGATCCATTTCATTTTTGGATTAAAAAATTTAATATAGAAAATATTGTAACTTCAAAAATGTCAAATAGTGAGATGGCGAACTGCAATCTGTCGTTTATTGACTAATGAGATGTCTAATTATTATTGGTCGTTTAAAATCCTATGTGGACAGCTTCAAAAGCTTATAGCCTCAACTTTTATATAGTATAGATTATAATGTTTGATTCATTCACAATAATATATATATATATATATATATATATATATATATGTATCTCAAAATAGTCATACTTATTACTTCATATTTGAAAATGTATTAAAAATATTAGAATTTGATACAAGATGACAACTTTTACTGCTTGGTAGTTACTAAACAAATCTATTTTGTTCATTATAAATTTGAATATCATACTCAATCATTTTATAATAAAAATCACAATATTTATATAAATTTTTTTTTAAAAAAAGATTGTCTCTTGGTGTACCACGGGGTAAATGATGTATATCATAAATACCAAATCTTATTAAGCAATATAAATGATGAATCAAAATTATTTTCTTGCAGGTCTAGAAAAAATCTTACAGTGGGACTCTATTAATACATTTTGTATTGTATTCATATATTTATTTTAGCAAATATGATTTTTATTATAGTGCATTTTAAAAAAATGCATTCTTATAGTTTTTTCCACTACATATATTCAATAACAAATACTATTAATTAATAATAAAAATATCAAAATATATACACAGTAACATCTATATTAAAACCAAAAAATTTACCATGTGGTAAATTTGGTAATGTAACAACATATATATAATATCATAACATTTATATTAACTAAAAAATAAAATTACTAAATTAATTAACTCATTTTAATGATTAACTAGAATCGGACCCGCGCTACAGCACGGGGGAAAATTATCGGGCTATTGTTAATACAAATGCATGTTTTAATTTATTATGTGATACAAATGTATTTTAAGATTTGTTTTCTTTACAAATATATCATTTTCTATTATGTTTTTGCTATTTTCGTAACTAATTTTTCTAATAAATTTGTATTTAATATTATCCAAAAACAAATAGCAGTATGGTTAGTGCATGAAGCTGTGTTAAATAAATGGAGTTGATTATGGTGAATCATACATGTTTGTAACGAATATATGTTATGAATAACCAATCAGCAATAAGTAACGGATTGCATTTGTAAAAATATTATTGATTACTTTAACAAAATAACCCGTGAATTACCTGTGATTTATATAGTTTGATACATATTATAGTTGATAAGTAAAACTTATTTGTATTATAAATTCGAGTGAATCAATATTTCAATAGTATATTTTGTTAATAAGATTTTGTATGTACCATTGTTAAAATTTGATTTAGTTATGTTCTTTAAGACCCGTAAAAGTGAACAATTTTCATATAATTTTTTTTCGTATTACAAAGTATTTAATTGTAATTAAAAATTAGAATATTTTGAAACTTTTAAAAATTTTATATGCTCAAATAAATAATTTTACTAATCCAAACAAAAATTTTAAAATTGAAAACCCGATAAGTTAAATTTCATGCTCATTCATAGTTAGAAACATATTTGTCAAGTTTATAATGATATAAAACCATTATCTAAAATATTGAACGGATTTGGTATGTCTTACACCTTTTTCTATCAATAAAGTATAATATATAATTTCATGAAAATATTTAACCAACCCGCTTAGATTTCACCAATATATTTAACTAACCCGTTTTAGTTATCCAAACTTTATTTTAATAAGATTTTAAGTTTATAATAATATTTTCTTTGTCAATTGAGTAACATATATCCATTTTGAAAAATTCGAAATTCAACATTTTTTAAAAAAGTTGAATTTGTATTCTATATTTCTATTAGATACTTTAATATAATAAACTAAATAATATCAAATAAAGGTGAAAGGAGAATAATAAATAATTTAAATTTATTATTCTAAATTAGTTATAGAAAATTAGGAAATTCAAAATCTAGATATAGAAATAATATAATCCGCTGGAAAAGTATCCGATTTATATCCAAACCCAGTTAAATATCCGATTTTGAAATATCCAATTGTTTAATTTCGGGTTAATTTTTAATTTTGACCCGACCCATCAAACACTTACTTCTCTTTTAACAAAAAATAAATGACTTCCTAACAATAATATAAATATATTTAGAGTATTTTAAGGTAACTTTGAATTTGAAGGTAATATACCTTTATTTTTTTTAAGTTCTTACCAAAAAAAAAAAGTTTTATTTTTAAGTGGTGTCGTGATTTTCAAATAATTATGCTGAAATTATGTATGGAGAGAGAGAAATAATTATGCTACCATTTTTAAGTAGTACCGTGGCCATTTAATGTTGCTACAATGACCTGTCAAATTCGGGTGTTCCAATTGCTAAACATCTAACTTCCAATTCCGGGTTATTTTGTTTAATTGACCCTATCCGTTTAGGATTAAATATGAATTTATCCTTAATATACCCTTAAAGATAATGTAAAGCAAAGTTTAAATTCCTGGTTTTTTTGTAATTTGTTTTGAAATTTTTTGTAAAAGAAAAGTGTACTTCTCTTTTACTATGTAGGGGATTATAAAAAATAGACACGTGGTGTACCACGAGGTAAATCTTTTGTTCAACAAGAAAGAAAATTCTGATGATCCAATCGTTTGAGATCAGCAACGATTAAGATCTTGTAAACATTAAAAAATGTTAATTTTGTATATGTACGTTTCTGTTTTCGGTACAGTAAACCAAAGACACATTAAGTTTGCTAAACAAAAATCATGAGCTACACACTTCTACTAAGCCCATTAGGAAAGTGTATATTCAAATAATTTCTTACACACTATTTCATTAATCTATAAATATTATTAGCCACTATAACTACAAACTATCATTAAACCAACCTCTATTAATTTCATATACTATTTTTTTAAAAACCATGTAAAGATAGACACACATTTACATCACTAGCATACAACATATTACGTATATATAAACTATAACGGTTAAGCTTTAACATATCATATATACATAAAATACTAGCATCGTTGGTAAAATCTAGTCACTATTTATAATTTTAAAAGTAGTCATATTTCACTGTTTTGTACAATGGGCGCTGGATATTAAGATTATCCTAAAATCTCAAGGGCTCGGTGAATGTATTGTGAATGAGAATGACGAGCCCAAAATGAATAGATATAAGGCAATATTAATTATTCGGCATCATCTTGCTGAGAGTCTCAAGGATATGTACTTGACAATTGAGTATCCCTTGGACCTTTGGAATGAGTTAAATATGAGATATGATCACCAAAGGACGGTGCTATTACCAAAGGCCTTGTATGATTGGAGGAATCTCAAAATTCAGGATTTCAAGTCCGTGGATGAATATAATTTAGCCATGTTTAAGATAGTTTCTATCTTGAAACTGTGTGGTGAGGATATAACCGAAAAGGATATGCTTGAGAAAACATTTTCTACCTTCCACACAAGTAACGTATTGTTGCAACAATAATATCGTGAAAAGGGCTTTGAAACATATGCAAGTCTGATCTCATGCTTATTGCTCGCCGAGCAAAACAATGAGTTATTAATGAGAAGTAGTGAATTGAGACCTGCAGGATGAGCCCCACTCCCTGAAGCCAATGCGGTTGCATCGGCAAAGAAAGAAACTAATGAAGTTACCACGTCCAAAAAGAGCATAATCAATTAGGCCTTGGACGTGGAAAATGGCAAGGATGTGGCCGTTGTCACTCCTACGGTCGAGTACAAGGCCGAGGCCGCGGTTATCACGGTGATTGAGGCCGAGGTCATGGTACATCTTTTAAGCCGCAAAACCCGACCGGAAAATCAGTATGCCATTGATGTGGGATGGGGAATCATTGGGCTAAAACATGTCGGACTCCCAAGCATTTTATTGACCTCTATCAAGAGAGTATTAAAGGGAAAGATCTGGAAGCCCACTTGGTCCATTACGACAATAAAGATGATTTTGATCATGACAAAGATGATCTTATGGCATATGAGACTCCCGATTGCCTAGAATAACCAAGATAATTTCGACATCAAGATTCTCATGATTGCCTTCATGATTGCTTTTAAAGTTTTATAGCTTTGAATTTATTATCTATTATTGCTTTGAATTTATTTGATATTCCTTTGAACATAATAAATTACAAGATATTTTATTTAAATATTGAAGATATGATTATTATTTTTGAAATATGAATGAATGGTTTCCATGTTGAAATTAAGGACGGAGGAAATAAAGAGTTCCTAATAATATTTGAAAACTCCGAAGGCCATAAGAAAGTATTAAAGGTCATAAGAAAGTAAAAATGCCATAAGAAAGTATAAAAGGTCATAAGAAAGTATTAAAGGCCATAAGAAAGTATTAAATGTCATAAGAAAGTATAAAATACCAAAAGTATTAAAGGCATTTACTGTGCTAAGGCCAGTATGATATAAGCTAATACCAGGGTAAACAAAGAGTTTACCAAGAGATCCACTCTTTGGCACGACCGGCTTGGTCATCCCAGATCGAGTATGATGCAAAATTGATATTAAATATAAATGGGCACACATTGAAAGAAAGAAGAGTTATCCCAAAGAATCTCACATGTGTAGCATGTTCACAAGGGAAGCTCATTATAAGGCCATCACCAGTCAAAGTGATTAAAGACTATACGTCTAGATAATGCTGGTGAATTCACGTCCCAAGCTTTTAATGCTTATTGTATGTCCATGGGGGTAAGTGCGGAACATTATGTGATACATGTACATACACAAAACGGTTTGGCTTAATCATTTATAAAACGCATAAAGCTAATTACCAAACCGTTGCTAAAAAGATCAAAATTCCCGATCTCAGCTTGGGGACATACATATTCCCCAACACAATAACTTATGGGTCATGAGCCAGACATATCTCATCGTAAGAAATTTGGATGTGCCGTCTATATACCAATTGCTCCACCACAGAGAACTAAGATGGGTCCTCAAAAGAGGATGGGGATATATGAATCTCCCATAATAAATAAGTAGCTTGACCCGACCACGGTTGATTTATTCAAGGCCAAGTACGCAGATTATCATTTTGACGAATCAAATTACCCACCATTAGGGGGAGATAATAATAAGCTGGTAAAGGAAATTATATGGAATCAATCATCCTTATCATGGCAAGATCTTCGGACTGAATGTGAATTAGATGTTCAGGAAGGACACAATCAAGTTGTTACAGAGTCTAAGGCACGTATGAAACGTGGTAGACCAATAGGTTCCAAAGATAAGAACCCTCAGAAAATAAAGAAAGGTGCTAAGAATGAATATGAGGTTGAGAAAACCGTGCTTACCCGAGGCATAACCGAACCTTAGATACCTAACAATGAGGCTTTGGACGCCAAGCTTCAAGATACTGATGAAGTTCTTGATAAGATCGCGATCAATTATGTTATGTCCGGGATAAGATGGAACCGAAAGAATGTCGACATTGATAATATATTTGCATGCAAGGTAGCACTTGAAATTAATGAAATAAGCGAGGATCTACAACCCACGTCCATATTAGAGTGCACTCAAAGATTAAATTGCATTAAATGGAAAGAAGCTATAAACGTGGAGTAAATTCATTAAAGAAGAGGATTGTATTTGTTCCAATAATCCGGACACCTCTTGATATTAAACCAGTTGGACATAAATGGGTCTTTGTGAGGAAAAGAAATGAACATGGAGAAATTGTGAGATATAAAGCACGGGTTGTTGGACAAGGATTCTCACAGAGACCATGAATAGATTATGAGGACATTTAAAATTTTGCTAAGTCTGGCTATATAAAAGAGAAAGACTTATATTGGGGCTAATGGATGTAATGCCTGCATATTTATATACGTCCACTGGATAATATATAAGATTACCAGAGGCTATTGAGCTCAAAGATAAGAAAGTTCTCGAGATCAGCACTGCATAAGGCTGGACAAATCCTTTCATGGACTTAGATTAAGTGGGCGTATGTAAGGTTATAAATGATCCCATCCGTCCATGTATTTTCATAAAGAGGTTTGCAAACAAAGGATTTGTAATCATAGCAGTGTATATGAATATTTAAACCTCTGGGTAATCGACCAGACAGTTGAATATATCTAAAGAAAGAATCTAAAATGAAAGACCTAGGCAATAATTAAGTTCTGTTTGGGATTAAAACCTGAGTACGTGAATAATGGAATTCTTGTGCATCAAATGGCATACAATGAAAGAGTACTCAAGGAGATTTAATAAGGACCAGGCCCGCCCATTGACCAGGCCCAATGGTGGTGAGAAGCCTCAGATTGGATAGTGATCCATTCAGTCCGTAAATGCCATACCTCAGTGCCATAAGAGTTCTAAAGAATTTTGCTAGACACACTAGACCAAACATTTGTTTTGCCGTGAGTGTCATGTCTAAATCTAGTTCATGATCAACCAAAGGCACTGGAAAGGTTAAAGGAAGGTTTGGTTAAGTTTTAAATTCTATTATTCCTCCGTTGTTTACTTGGGTTTTATTCTATACTGATCTAACCAAAGAAGGTCCAGTTTGCTTTGGTTTTGTTTGATTTGCTAATGCAGGTTATTTATAAGATCAGATTATGACATGATAAATGAATAGGAACTATGTGTGGCTTGATCCCTTCCAAGGGTACGTAGGCAGCCTTCCTTAAGGCGCATATACTACTACTTCAAAGAACATCATATTTGAAGACAAGGACGAACGAAGCATATCTTGCCAAAGTTTTTTTTTTACTCACGAATTACAGAAAGCCAGAGAGGTCCAAGTGGAACAAGTTCAATCATGTGACAATTCGGCGGATCTATTCACCAAGTCGCTTCCAACCTCTACGTTCAAGAAACTTACACATCAAATTGGAATGCGCCGGTTGAAAGATCTTAAGTGAGGTTCAAATCAGGGGGTGTAATACGTTTTGTACTCTTTTTCCTTCATCACGGTTTTATCCCATTGGGATTTCCTGGTAAGATTTTAATGAGGCAACATCCAAAGCTTATTACAAGCTCTAACGGTTATGACATCCAAGGGGGAGTGTTATAAGTCATATGGTGGATTGTCATAACAAGCCCAGTCTGGCCCGACCCATAATAAAGCTCGGACCGGCCCATATTGAGGAGGCTTAATCTTTTCCTATTTCTATTAAGTTTTACTTTTCTCCCTTGTATCCATCCTCTATATAAAGGATGCTTGGCTCATTAATAAAGGCATCACGAATTCCCCTCAGTCTCTCTAGTTTCCTACAGAAGACTCAATAATCCTCATATATATCTCATATTTACCATTCATGCCATACCATTATTATCTTATAAGAAAATAACAAACAACATCATTTCTCTCTCCTTTTTTGCTCCATCACACATATTAACTTTTTAATTCTTTTTAATTCTTTTCTCTCTCTCCTCACGGGTAAAAGGTAAATTTCACCAAGTGATAATAGATCAATTGGTAAAGATCTCTGGCAAAAGTTCAAAGGTCGCCGGTTCGAGTAGCGTTTCGGACGAAACCATATAACATGCTTTAGTTTCGGGCCTGAAGGGATGTACGGGCTTTATAAAAGAAAAGAAAGCTCCATAAAAAATGATTGTGGACTTATACTAGAACAACCGTTGGTTTCTTAAAAAACAAATCTGAACTTTTATATACAGGCCTTAAAGATGGAAACAAGTTTGGAAATATGTACACTCTTATTGACAGCACATACACAAATTAAGCTAAATCTATACACAATTAGATTAATTTTATACCGCAAGTTCGATTCATGTTGTGTTTAAGAATTTTAGACATCCCTAAATTGAAAGACGATTCGTAAAGAACATCAAAACACCACACTTAATTACTTACTTGGGTAACCATAGGTAGACTATGCGAGTAAGCTACTGAATCTAGCTTTCGATTCCCAATCCTGTGATATAAGAATTCTGTAGTGGATCTCAAATTGCTAACCTGCAAATTTGAGTTTTATTAAAAAAAACATATGAGATCTACGTCAAACTATTAAATCAGTGCAGAAAGAGAATTAAAGATTTAAATTACCAAAAAAAAAAAAACAGAATCGGACATATCTATGTGCTAACGATCGTCGATGATGAGAAGAAGATGAACAGATAAGTGAGTTTAGAAAATGGTTTCAGACACTTATTTAATTTTTTCCTTAAATAAACTATGGGTTTGGTTATTTTTTGTACATCATCTAAGATTTATTGAACCGGATTAATAGTTAACCAGTTTGGTTATTGCTACAAAACGTAGCTACTTATAATAAACTTTTGAGAAAGTCACCTTTTAGGAAAATGAATAAACCAAAAACATGAACATAGTACCCAAACACTATTTTTCTATAAATGCATACATTACAAACAAACAAAAAAACGGCAACGTATTACCGTAGTTTCATCATGTACAATACAGAAAATTATTATAATGCGAAATTATCACCAACGAAAACACAAAATATTATTATTATTATACAACCCCAAATACTCCCAATTTACTCACTACAACACACAAATTTTTCGCAGCACAACTTACCACAAATCTATAATTTTTTTTGGTAGGAACCAAAAATCTATAATTTGTTTAATTCTCATGTTTTTATATAATTCAATTCAACAATAAGTTATAACCAAAAATATAGTATAGATTTCTGTATGTTAACGTAGCCGATTCAACATCAATATTAACAAAAATATAGTTTTCTATATAAAAAAATAGAATAAAGACCCGCGGTCTACCAAAAAAATACTATATTCTGAAATAAACTCATTTGAATATATATATGTGGTTTAATTTTATTTGTTGTAATCATCTTTGAAAATGTTCCAACAATTGATTTGGATTTTGTCTGTAGGAAAATATGGACTTTGTAGGCTTGGTAAGGTAACGGAGGCATCTCTTTATCTCCTTTCAATTTGGGGCAATCATAATCCATTATATTAATGGCTGAAGATGGTTTAGAATTCAAACAAAAGATTATTACTCAAAACATAGCATCACTTGACATCACATGAATTGAACATAAGATCATTAATTCTTGTAATATCTATGTCAGAAATTGGATCTATAGGCCTGTCTTCACCTTCTTCCATCCCAGGATCAAGCTCCCCAGGTTCTCTGCTGTACTCATCTGCCATATCAAACAACCAAATTTAGAATACAATCCAAAAACCACTCCCTGCACATACAACATTCAAAACATTCTACCAAGCTATTTGGCATAGAGCGGACTTTGACAACAGTTCTTTTTGATTTTTTTGAAGAAAAAAAATCTCATATTTCAAACAACATTAGATAAAAGGTAATCTAAAGAGGGGTGCAGGCGCTCACCAAACAAGGTATTGAGAGAGGTTGGAAGTGGAGTAGCGATAAAGTTGAGACCAATATAAAACACCAATGTTAACATTAAAGTCCACATCAAATATGTTGGCATAGCCAATACCCAGTACCGGCTTGGGTAGTAATGGATCCCTATAGACTCCAACAGTTTATCTGGTACATACGCCCATATCAAGAAGATGACTGTGGCAACAACAGTCGAAATAGACCCAACAAAACCATACACCTCTGAGGGTTTGGGTCCATGCACTTCTGATGCACTAAAAGGAGATGATCTTCTGCTTCTGCTGTTTGAATCCCGGAAACCGGGCTTTTGCTTCTTTCTCTTTGAGAAGCTTAAAACTCGTCTTGGACTATTTACTGAATGGGCTTCATCCATTATTCTGTACAAAGGAAGAGATTGAGAGAAGTCACTGCAAAATCACTGAGAATTGAAACAAAAAATATCAGTTATAAGTTTTTTGATTTAGATTATGTAGAACAGATCAAAGAAGACCAAATTGAAAGACTACACAGAAGAATTAGGTATACATTGCATAGATATGAACCGAAATCTATGCAGCGTCCTAACTCTAGGAACAATGGTCTATACCTATGCATAAATATGAACCAAAATCTATGCAGCGTCCTAACTCTAGGAACAATGGTCAGGAACGAATCCTTAAAACCCCAACAGATGCTAACAAAGTTCTACATGACACATGTCGAAAGTATGCTCACACAATCTGAACAAGCTCCATACTCTTATATATCTCAGAGTCAGAGTATGCTGTCGCAAATGCCGATTCCACTAACCCTTGTAAATGAGAAGATGATTTAGTGAAAATGAAAGGTTTAAGAACTAGGTGATTAATGGGGGATGGGGAGGCCCACACAAAAGTCTTCTACAAAAGTAAGCAGCGTCATCAACTCCTGCAAGCTTATTACCCTTCCATAAATTCTTGTGCCATTTTTAAACGTTTGCACAATTTTAGTACTGCTATCGGCCCTCATTGTTCGCTTTGTTTTCCTTACTCATTAGTTTAAGGCAGTTTTCCCATTGACATCACCCTCAACACTTTATACTGGTCTTCAAAGAACTCACACAGCTCACTTTTCCGAAGTGGGACAAAATATACACTCCACTCCTTTTCTTTGTAGTATGTTAGACAGATACGACTTTGGTTTATGATTTGTAGTTTGTAGTAGTTGCAATTTCGTGTGGTTTCTATTATGGAAGATTGGGAGACATACTTATGTACTTGGCTAAGATTGGAAGACATTAAACAAGATGTCTTCCAATTCGATACATGAATACTCCAAGAATCTGTATTTAATTTTACTCTAAGGCTGATCACGAACATTAGAAACTAAGTACTTTACGAAACATGATAAGAAAGCTTAAATCGAAGCCAGTTAATATTGTTTACATCAAGGCTGAAGTCAAATAAATGGTTCAAATCTATCTTGTTCAAGTAATGATTCAATACGGAATCTGGCTTTATCAATGAAAAAAAAAATGGTACCTTTAGCCGGAGACATGGCTCGGAGTGATTCTTCTTCACACTCGAAATCTGTAAAAGCAAAAAAAAACCAAACTCAGCTAACAATCAAGAAATGAAATGTAAGAAGATTTCGAGCTCACTGTCAAGGATGGTGGAGAGGAGACGCACGAACCTGGAGAGGTGAAGGCAGGAAACGGGAAACCCTAGCCACCCGCCGCAAACAAATATATAGTGGATATTGAAACCTTAAGCAAATAGTAATAGTTTGGGCCTTCGATACTATATATGGGCCTTTGACAAAAATTATCATGAAAGCTTAAATGGCCGGCAATAATAGAATCAACTTCCGCTGCTCCTCTACCATCTCTCGCCTCCGCCGCAATTCCATCGCCGGAAAATGGTTGAGCCTACTAGTATGGATTCCGACGAAGGGATCTCGCTGCTCGAGTTTCACGGTAATGGTGACCGCTCCTGGCAATTAAATTTTGATGATTTCTAGGTTTCTCCGGAGCACAAGGAGAAGAAGACGCCGAGCAAACTACACAACTGTCTTGGTTGTTTGGGTAAATAAATTTCTTCCTTCTCCACTTGACATTTCCGTTTTCTTATCGTCTTCTTCAGTTTCATCTGTACCTTAGCTTCCTACGGTGATGAGAAATTTGAATTCAGCTACCTTTGGTTTGCTATTTTTAGCATCTTTTTGATTCTTAAAAGGATATTTACTGTTGTAATGAAGTTGAGATGTAGTGGAATCTTGGTAGTGATTAGTCTCGAGTATTAGTAATCTAACCTTTCTTATGGATGTTGAAGTAACTGAACATGACTAACTTGTTTTAGCTATGGTATGAAATTTTTTTTGCAAATCTTGTGGACAGAAAGAGGTTTACTTTGTTTTTGTTCTATTGAAAACTTGTGATCTCATTTGAATTAGTGAGAAGAACATGTAGCTAAAGCGAACTGGGTCTGAACTGAAGCTATGTGTTTTGAGGTTTCTCAGGTCCGGAAGACAATGTGGCAGATTATCACCAGCAGCAAGTAGAGATGCTTGAGGGATTTACTGAAATGGATGAACTTGCTGAACGTGGCTTTGTTCCCGGGATGTCAAAGGTTAGCCTTAGATGAGGCTACTGCTACTTGTCTCTTCTCCCACATTTGTGGAAAATTATGATGCTTTTTGTTCTCTTTTATTGATACTTGTTTGAATTTCTTTGTCTTGTACACATAGGAAGAGCAGGATGATTTGGCTAAAAGCGAGACATTGGCGATCAGAATATCAAACATTGCAAACATGGTTCTTTTTGCTGCTAAAGTCTATGCTTCTGTCACAAGTGGCTCTTTAGCAATCATTGCCTCCACACTGGATTCTCTTCTTGATCTTCTTTCTGGCTTCATCCTGTGGTTTACCGCCTTCTCAATGCAGACACCGAACCCGTATCAGTATCCCATTGTCAAGAAACGGATGCAACCACTGGTTTGTATCATTCTTTTAAAGACTATATATGCACATTAATGTGTCTTCCAGTAGTATACCTTCTATTATATGTTACCATGGTTGCAAAGCTTCTTATGTTCTATTTATTTCTCTGGGCAACTATTAACAACTACGACAATTCTACAAAGTTTTTCCTATTTATCCAATATGTGATTCTTGGTTCTAATCTTCTCAGGGAATCCTAGTCTTTGCATCAGTGATGGCAACACTTGGATTGCAGATTATCTTGGAATCTCTTCGCACGATGTTATCCAGCGTATGTCTGATACTTGATTACCTAGCTTTTGTCTAGAGCTTTTGAAAGTCATACATTTATTCACGAAAATATCTTTCATACAACACAAGGAGTTCAGTTTAACAAAAGAGCAAGAGAGTTGGGTGGTTGGGATCATGCTTTCTGTTACATTGGTCAAACTGCTTCTGGTTCTTTACTGCAGGTCCTTCACTAACGAGATCGTGAAAGCTTATGCTCAAGATCACTTCTTCGACGTCATCACAAACATCATTGGACTCATTGCAGTAATCCTCGCCAATTACATCGATGATTGGATCGATCCAGTCGGAGCTATCATTGTAAGTATCCATTTTTTTATAGAAGAAAAACAAAATCAAGTACTTTTTATCCTCCTTGCTGAAAATTGTCTCTCTAATTCATGCAGCTTGCAATATACACGATACGGATATGGTCAATGACAGTATTGGAGAACGTGAACTCTCTTGTTGGGAAATCAGCAAGACCAGAGTATCTGCAGAAACTAACTTACCTGTGTTGGAACCACCACAAGGCCATTAGGCACATTGACACAGTGAGGGCTTACACATTCGCATCATTTTGTGGAGGATGACATCGTTCTTCCTGCTGACATGCCTCTGCAAGTGGCTCACGACATAGGAGAATCGCTGCAAGAGAAGCTCGAGCTGCTGGAGGAGATCGAAAGGGCATTTGTGCATCTTGATTATGAGTACACTCACAAACCTGAGCATGCTAGTAGATTCCACTATTAGCTGTTTATCGTTTCAAGATATATCTACGTTTCCAAATCCTTACAACCTAATCTTCTCTGTATTATTTACTAGACAATCTCTATATTAGTAAAAGAGAAGTACAGTTAGTATTTCCGGGTCGGGTCATTCTAAAAAATTACCCGAAATCTTGCAATTGGATCTCAACAAATCGGGTTCAAAAAAGTTTGGGACCTTTCTCATTGGTAAACTAATCGATTCCTTTTTTAAAACTAAAACCACAATACAGTATTTGAAAACCTCAGTATTAATGTTTTGTTCCTCCATATTAGGAAGTTTTATTGATTACGATATCACAAATCAATGACAGTAAATTGCAATCTCGGAAAATATATTTCCAAAATGAAACTAAACATTTCTCAATGCACAAATAATGCAAACTCAATGCTTAATTTGATTTTTACATATCGATTATTTTGTTTAGAAAATATTACCCACCTAGTAACTATATTTATTGAAAGAATATGCCCTAATATTATACCCTAACTAGTTAGTTGCCCGCGCTACGCGCGGAAGTTTTATTACGTAGTTTATGAATAATTGATTCATATTTTATTTCGTACTTATTTTCTCTACTACATCATATTTTTATTTTCTATCTCATGTTGTGTTTGTATAGAAAATCTATTTTATTTTAGTCTCGATAATAGTTGAGAAATTAAGCGTGTATAGTATAAATCGATGTGTAGGCGTAAGCGGAAGTGTTATGGAGAGTTGCAGAAAAAATGTGTTATTAAGGCTCCCACCAAATATAGATCTAGATAATGTTAATATTGTGGGTCTTTTTAATATGTTGGTCCAAAAGTTGAGAATGATTTGTGGATTCGCGCGAATTGTTGTATTTTTTATTTATTGATTTGGCGATTGGTTGTTTATTATCTATTTATTTTTGTTTGTTATGTTTTTGTTTGTTATTTTTATTTGTTATATTTGTTTGTTATATTTGTTATTTGTTTTTGTTATGTAACATACATATCAGTATAATCTACTTTATACTAATTTAACATATTTATTTTATTATAATTATTATTTGAAAGGACTTTTCATATTTGTTTTTGAAAAAACTTGTTTTCATGTGTATAAATCTTTAAATTAAATGACAAAATGGTATAAATAAATTATTAAAATTAAATAGTAAAATGATGTGGATGATGTTTGAAAGGACTTTTCATATTCCTTTTTGAAAACTTGTTTACATATGTATAAATATTTAAATGAAAGAATAAAATGGTATAAATAAATTATTAAAATTAAATAGTAAAATGATGTGGATGATGATTAGGATGATGAGGTGGCTTAAGGAGAAGAGAGCAAAGTATATATATAGACTAGTCGGTTGCCCGCGCGTAGCGCGGGAGTTTATTATGTTGTTTATGAGTAATTGGTTCGTATTTTATTTTCTACTTATTTTTTTACTATATCATACTTTATTTTTTAAAAACTTAAATTGTGTTTGTATAGAAAAACTATTGAGTTTTAGCTTCATTAGTCGTTGAGAAATTAAGTGTGTATAGTATAAGTCGAAGTGTGGGCGTAAATGGAAGTGCGGTTGAGAATCATTGAGAAACGTGTGCTATTAAGGTTTTTACCAAATATAGATCTAGATGTTAATATTTTGGGCCCTTTTATATGTTGGCATGAAATTTGAACATGATTTGTGGGTTTCGGGCGGATTGTTGTATTTTTAATTGTTTACATTATCTCTGTATATATTGTCATAATTTATTATTTTTTGTTTTACATTTTCCTTATTTGGATTTGTCGTACTTTATATCTCGTAATGATCATTTATATACTATTATATATTTTTCTGATTTTATGTTTTATATATTTTTTTGTTTTTTCATATGGAACAATTTTTAAATTTAACATATTAGTATAATTTACTTTATATTTAGTTTATTTCATTTAATAATGTTTTATTTTAATTTTGAATTTTATAAAATATAGTTAATTTTTTATTTTGTTTATTAGTTTAACATATGTGTTGTGGAAACAAATAGTTAAATTCATATTGGGAACTTTTAAGAAATATTATTTTTATTTTTACCTTTTTATATGTTTATAAAAATAAGAATTCATGTTTCGGTCCGACCTATCTCACTTATGTTAGAAAATTATTTGAGGCATAAATTAGATAGATTTATATTCTCAAAATTTCTTACTTTTTGTTTTATTCCTGTTAAATCTCATTATATTTAGGTTTACATTGTGTAAATATAATCATATATATATTTTAAACATTCACTAAAAACTATAATCTATTATTTATATATTTGTTAGTATAATCAATAATTAGTAACTTTTTTTTAACTATTAATCAATTATCTTTTTTAGGTTTATAATGTATAATATAAAAAAAGACCTTTCATATTCATTTTGGAAAAACTTATTTACATAGGTTTAAATATTAAAATTAAATGATAAAATGGTATAATTAATTTTAAAAATTTAAAAATAAAATGAGGTGGATGATGATGTGGCTTAAGGAGAAGAGAGAAAATGTTAACTTTATATATATAGATGACGCTTCTAATTAATTGCTTATATAAAGATTGTTAGTCGACATTGTTTTATTGCCACACATTCGATTATCCCTTCTATGTCTACTCTCTTTGCTATGAAAAATGTCTACTAATACTGCCACAACAGATTTGCTATCAATCAAACCTTACAAAACTGGGTGGTGAATTCAAGCCATGATTGTCCATTCAT